GAGCGGAGGGGCCGCGGGCGCTCGCGGGGAGGCTGGAATGGAGGCCGAGGGGAGGCTGAGGAGAGGTTGGGGCTGCGGGCTGAGGCAGCTGCACTGTGGCTGTCTGGGAGCTGAGGATTGCCTTCCTCAGGGATCCCAGTGCCTGAGGTCTGGAGGGTCTTCGAGGGGCACCGAGTCTGAGGGACTTGTGTTCAGAGGTTCCGGATCCCGGCCCTGAGACCCATGGTCCCTCAGGACTGGGGTATGGCAGTGTTTGGTCTGAGTGACCTGCATGGTGAGATCCTGAGCCTCAGAGATGCACAGTCCTGCAGGGAACGTCTGTGGCTGCTATCCTTGACCTCAGGAACCTGTGTCACTGGGTCTGGGAACCAGGACCTGAAAGACCAATATGCTAGGGTCTAGAAGTGCGATTAGGGGATCCCAGGATCTTGGAGCCTGAGGGGTGTAGCGAGGCCCGAGGGGTGGGTGCATAGGCACTTTGGGATTGGAGTGGAAGGGTCAAATGGTAGGAAGAGTATGTCTCCTAGGAGTTAAAGAGGCTTCGTGTGATGGCTAGGCGAGCAGGATGCAGCCCCAGAGGAGGGGACCCCCATCTCCATTTAGGTCATGGAGAGGGAAATGGGGGTAGAGGTTGGAAGAAGTCTTCTCTGAGAACCTGGAGCCAGGCCCTTAAAGGGACTTAGTAGGTGGCTCACCTGGGGACAGGGGCTTTACCGCTTCATATTGGAGGAAGCTGGGGTCCAGGAGCGTAGATGTTTGGTGCTTGAGGTACACAGGTGATTAGAAATCTGGCCCTGGCAATAGAGGGCATATATGCAGGAACCCAAAGGGCTTCTGTTGCCCCCAGGACTTGGCAGGGACCACTCCAAGGCTGAAGTTTACATCCATGTGTCGGGCTGAAGAAATTTTGAGTTGTGCACATGGTGGCTGGTGTTCCAGGTCCTGGTGCATAAGTCAGTTGCACAGAGACAGAGTTTTGTTACCTCCAGGTCTTAGTGCAAAGGACAAGGTTGGCTGTGTCTGCTTGGGGGAACTGCATGGAGGTGGGGTGGAAGGCCAGACAACAGGGAGTTGCCATGGGGATGCCCAAGAGCAAGCTGAACTGGAAGCAGCTCAG